AGGACACAATGTCACTTATAGTCTTCCAGTCATGAATGCATAAACTGTAGGTAATAATGAAGAAACAGCAGAGACAAGCCCAGAAGAAACATTCTATTAAAATAAAGGGGAAGACTACATTCTTCAATAGTGTCAACATCATAAAAGACAGAGAAAGGCCAACTATTCCAGATTAAAACATACGAAAGAGAAATAACAATGCAACACAGCATTCCTAAACTTGACCCTTTGCTAAGGGGGAAAATGCGATAGGAAGGACATGATAGAGACAACTGACAAGGGAGGTGATTAAATTAGCTGCCATATTGTATCAGTGTTAGTGAAGTAGATAAGTTATAGTAGGAAATGTACACTGTATTGAAGGTACAGGAAAATGATGTATGGAACATATTTTCAAATAGTTCAGAATAAAAATTATACCTATAGATGTTAAAGGTAGAGAGCAAGTGAAAGCAAATGGGGTAAAATGTTAACAACAGGGAATATGGGGTAAAGGCTATACAGATGCCTTTTGTACCAGTCTTACAACTTTTCTGTAATTTTGAAATTACTTTCAAATAATATTAAACCAAAAAGTCCAAATTCCTTACCATGGCCCTCCAGACCCCTGCCAGCATCCCCACCAGCAACCAGCATGCTCAGCTCCAGTTGCATAGACTGAGTTTCTGTTTTCCCAATGTCCCAAGTTCTTTCCCACCTCTGGAATTTTATGTGCTTACCATTGCCTTTCTGCAGAACTCTCTTGCCTATACTCAGGTCTCAGGGATACAGTACAGTCACTTTCTCAGAATGGCCTCCCCTGCCCTCCTCCCAAATTTAGACCTCACATTCTTTCACAGCACCCTGCACTTTTCCTTCACAACACAGACCAGTCTGTAAGTGTATATTTTAGGATTGCCTAATCTGTCTTGCCCAGTAGTCTGGAGTTTTACTCATGAATGCATCCTCCGCACCAGCTGCTAGGTCTGGCTCATCACTGGACACTCAGGAGAAAGTTAGTTTGCCTGATTAAATGATGAATTCCACTCTTCAACTCCCACGCTCAGAGTACATACCCTGTAGCCCATCTCTGGCCCCAAAAACTTATTCAAGAGGATTCATCTTTTTGGTTTTTTTTGCAGTACTAGGGTTTGAACTCAGGGCCTATACCTTGAGTCACTCCATCAGCCCTTTTTTGTTAAGGGGTTTTTCAAGATAGGGTCTCAAGAACTATTTGCCTGGCCTGGCATCAAAACAGTAGCTAGGATTACAGGTGTGAGCCACTGGTTCCCAGCCAGGAGGTTTCATCTTTGAAGTCTTCTCATGTCAGTGAGAGACCATGGTAAGGAGGAGGGGGATCTCAGGAGAGGTGGATAAAAGACAGATGCTGAATCAGTTGGGAACCCAGAACCTCAGAGAGGTAGGTTCAAGGAGGCAGGCAGTTGACCAGGCTGGTGCTCAGAGGGGCAGTGTGGATCAGAATGAGAGATGACCAGGAGCTGAAGCTGTTGGCATTGAAGATTCCTTCCTTCCTTGTGTGAAAGAAAGATGCATCCACGGATAGGGCCTGAGGACCCTGACTCAAGGGCAATCAGAGAAAATGAGCAAAGAAGCAGTGTCCAGAGAAATAGGGAAATTTTTACTGAAGGCAAGAGACAAGGAGGACACTTGGGTGTTAAAACCTTACATATTTGGATTTTCTTCCTTCTTGTTAAAGATCAGCAATCTGATGCTGGTGAGTGGAGGTGGCTCAGTGGAGGTGGAAAGATTGGATTGTTTGACCCTGATGCCACAACGCAGAAGCCTTGTGACCTAGGCCACTAGATTTAACTTTTCCAGACTCCAAGCCCTCTTCTGCAAAATGGGAGCAGTGCCAGGATCGACTTCCAGGGGCTGCTGTCAGGATCACATAAGGTCATCTTTGGAAAGCCCTTTAGGCCATGCCTGGCCTACATCAAGGGCATGGACACCACATGTGTAGGTACAGCAGGAGAGGATGCATGGGCTCGGGCTCATGGAAATGTTTCCTAAGTCCAGCCCATCACCAGTGACAAGTTTCAGACAAAAGTCACAGAGCCCTGCCCTGCCACCTTTTGTCACATGTCCCCTTTCTGTGGTCTGGTTCCTATTTAAAAAACAAAAAACAAAAAACATATAGTTGGTAGGTTCCATTGAACACCCTCCTTCCTCCAAAGGAAGAAAATTAGCTTGTTCCTGTCCCCAAGCATGCAAGTCATACCATGCTGGAGTTCACCCACCAGATTGCAAGTGACTGCCACCTAAGACCACTTTGCACCCTGTTTTCCAGCTGACTGTAGTGGCAGCTCCTCAACTCAGTGACCTTCTATGAATATAAGTAAATATTGTCAGGTCCCCTACGTGGGAATACCACCAATGTCTGCTCACAGTTCAGACCACTCCATCTCTAAAGGAAAGAGAAGCATGTGGATACCATTTCACAGCGTAGAAAGCACTTCCCCAGCACGGCCCCACCTTTGATCCTCACACCTGCCCTGTGAGGTAGATGCAGCAGTAATGACTATACTGGCCACATTTATCACACATTTATAATGTACTATGCTCTGTGTTAAGCATGTTCATATGTGATCTCATTTAAACCTCACCATAACCCTATGAAATACTCAGTAAATGTCCCTATTTTACAGAAGAGAAAAATGGAGTGGTTAGAACTTGTTCCAAGTCAGAGGTAGTAAGTAATAGAGCTAGGATTTGAACCTCGGACTGTCTGACTCCAAAGCCACACAATATTCTACAATATTGCCTCACAAAGCAAGCATATTATGTCCCAGACATTATTCTACCCATTAAATGAATTAATTAAATTAAATTAATTAAATGAAGCTCAGAGAGGTAAAGTGATTTGTCCAAGGTCTCACGACCAGGAACTGGCAGAGCTGGGCTCTGAGTTTGGATCATTTGGCTCTGAGGCCTGTGACACCGTGAAGTTTCAGTGACTGAGACTGGTGACACATTAAGTGATATTTCTGCAGCAGACTTGTCTTGCCAATCCTGCTCAGACCAAGGTAGTGTTTCTGAGCTGCAATTCCTTCCTGGCAGTTACTGGGAATTTTATGGGTTTTTTTTTTTTTTTAATCTCAAAAACAATTGCTGAAGAAATTAGGAACATAGGGGAAAAGACTGTAATTCTCTGAGAATTAATGCTTAATAATGTAGAGGAATTGCTGGTTTGAACCTTGAACGATGTCAAGTCAAAAGCAAGAGAAGGAAAGGCTGACACAATGAATCTAAACTTAAGGTAGACATTTCTGGGGAGAAACTGTCACATCTAATCAGCTTTTTGTAGCTGTTAGCATACCAAAAGTGTATCTGTGACCCTGTCTGCTGCTAAGTGAGTCAATCTCACAAATAAATACTAAAATGTTCACATGCACAGTATATTTTATACAAACCCTATGACTGATTTTCTGAGAAATAACGTGTTTTGAAAACAAGTCCTTATATAGGCAATTTCAACTCATGATTGTGTAGTGCTGTTAATCTAGTTGGCTATTTAAACATTTTGTTATTCAAATACAACTCAGTAGTATTTGCTGGCATTTTCTAGTTTTTTAATACTTGCTATGGCCTACAGTTCTTTTTAGTTACTACTAACGTGTATTTATTGGTTTTTAAAAAGCACCAAAGGTTATGAAAAATACAAGAATAAAATGATTTTGGGAATTCCCAAGAATTCCAATTTTTCACCCCTAAATCCTGAAGGTGAATATTGTTTGGAAATTTGGAAACTGCAGCCCTGCTAGGAATTTGGAAGCCTTAATTAATAAACTTTTGTAACTTGGACTTCCCAAGCAACCAGTGGAATAGCAAATGGTACAGATTCCATCTTCCTTGGCCTCCAGGGAGCCTCAACACAGGAGTGGTTCTGGAATGGTGCTTCCTTCACCAACATCACTCCAGAGAAGTCCGACAAGAGGTTACCCCAGGGTCATAGGCTGAGTTTGAAGCACTGGCCTTAATCATCAAATTTCTGTCATCTCAAATTTCATCTCAATCATTGGTACAAATGTACACTTTCCTCCTAGTGAGTATCTGCTCACTTTAGTATTAAAAAAGAAATTGTTCTGTGTTAGAACATGGAGAAAAATGCATAAAGGGATGCTTTGTTGAACTCACAGCCTCAACTCCACGGCGTCCAACATGAGAAGTGCTACACTAGCAAGGGCTATGGAGTCAGGCAGGCAGACTCGGGTCCGAATGCTGGTTCTGCCCCATACCGGCTGTGTGACTTTGGGCAAGTCCTTTAACCTCTTGGAGACTTAGTTTCTCCATCTGTAACCGTGAAGTGATCGATATCTATGACACAGGAATATAGTGAGGAGTAAGTAATTCCCATCCATCGCAATGCCTGACACAGCAGGCCCTCAATAAACGGGAGACACTAATTTCCCAGAATGCCAGGCCCAATGGGAAAGTCAGGAAGCAAGAGTTTGGGGAAGCCCTTGGCACCACTTAAATGGCTCAGACACCACGAGTTTCTCCAGGTGGGGATTTCCAGGTAGGCTCGGTCGGCTCAAAGCTGGGCCACAGTCTCCATCTGTCCTTCCATGCGGATCCAGGGCGGGAGGCAGGTGCCTAAGAGGCCTGTCGTCCCCGCGGACTCCCAGGCTGATCCGCCAGGCGGGCACGGAACGGAAGCTCCAGCGCAGCGGTCTACCCGCTCGCAGTCGCTGGCGCGGCGAGCACCGGCCTCGTGGGGGCGACGCGAGGTCTACGCATGCGCGGGCGTCCGCGGGCTGTAGCGCAGGTCACGAGGCCCTCGGCCGCTCACGGGAGGCGAAGGTGGGGCCCCTGCTCGTGCGCTAGGAGGCCGAGGCATCGGCGTCTGCTCGTCGGGCTCCTCGGGGCTTGTGGAGTCTGCGCTCTCCTCAGGCCCTTCTCACACTTGGGGCGTCGGTGGCGAGCGAGACCTTAGGTTGGCGGCTCCGCGACTGCTGCCCTCCGGGACTCGCACAGAGTGCGAACCGGGAACCTCCGCCCGTCGCAGGGTACGGGTGGTTCTGGACTTGGGGCGGCCGAGGGGGCCTGCGGGTCTCGCCTGCCGGGGAGCCGCCTCACCTCCCCTTCCCCTGGGGGACCGTCCTGGGCGCCCTCGGGGCCTTGCTTCCTCCCCCTGCAGCTCTGGCGTCCGGCACCGCGGAGCTGGGCCGGGCATTTGTCCGGAGGCCCCTCCGGGGAAGAAGCCGTCTGAGGGGCTCCGTTTTCAGGCCTTTCTCTTGGAGGGCTCTCCTTGTCATCCTCACTTTCGAATCCTGCAGGGAGAGAAAAAGAAAGGGAGTATTGTTTCCTCTGCGCTGCATCCCAGCCAAGGAAGAGCCAGCCTTGGGAGTCCTTGGTGCAGTGTTCTGCACACAGGTCAGCTCTGCCTTCCTGCCGCCCCCCGCCTTGAACCACTCCAGCAGCCCTTTCTTGTCTTTTTTTTTTTTTTTGGAGATACTGTCTAGCGAACTATTTGACTGGGGCTGGCTTGGAACAGCAGTCCTTATCTCTGCCTCCCGAGTAGCTAGGATCAGAGGCGTGAGCCGGCAGTGCCTGGCTCAGCTCTGTTTTTCTGACAGCAGGGAGAGGCCGCTTGTGGGAAACCTGCAGGAGCCCAGTTTCTGAAGAGGCAGTGCTGGGTTTGAATCACAACCCCAGCCCTTCCTTGCAGTGAAATCCTCGCAAGCAGCATAATTTGGTCGACTCGGCCCAACTATAAAATGGAGATAGGATTCGCTCCATGTAGTGTGTGACACACAGACCATCAGGAAGGCAGGGATAAATTTTACCTTAAGGAAATTTTTTCTAACTGCCACCAGTCCTGTGGTGCAGTCCTGTACTTTACCCCCTACTCCCCCCAGCCGTAGCACTACCTAATAGTACTTATGATTTTAAATAATCAGGAGTCCTTGGAGGGGAATTGATTCAATTCCTTGAGATGAGAGAAATCAAGATGGATCTACAGCATGCTGTTGACACCAGAAAGCAAAGATATTTTCAAAGATGTCAACAGTTGACACAAAGACAAAGATGATAGCTCAATGGACTGTCGCATCCAAACAATAACAATTTGAGCACCCTAAAAATGTATGATAATCATTATACTGCTTCAGTGAAATATTTAGGAAAAGCTGTTAGTTCCTAAACTACACAAAAGAATAAAGTTATGATAAAGTCTTCAAAAAGATAGTTGTACCAAGAAAAGTGATACTCATAGCTATATCATTTTTAGCCAAGTGCAGTAGCACATATTTGTAATTTCAGCACTCAGGAGGTTGAGGCAGGAGGAATGTGAATACAAAGCCAGCCTGGGTCTCAAAAAACAAAACAACCCAATGCTGGTGGCTCAAGCATGTAATCCTAGCTACTCAGGAAGCAGAGATCAAAGCCAGCCCCAAGCAAATAGTTCACAAGACCCTATCTTGAAAAACCCATTACAAAACAAGGGCTGCTGGAGTAGCTCAAGAGTGCCTCCCTAGAAAATGTGAGGCCGAGTTCAAATCCCAGTGTTGCCAAAAAGATGTACCTGTTTCATTTTGCTAATAGTTATAAGTGGGAGAGTGTTAATGTATGTATAATATGTTCTATTTTTTTCATCTACCAGGAATAAATATGAATTAGTTACTACCTGTCTAAGGAGAAAAAAACAGAATCAGAACTGAATCTGGTGACCCTGGGAAAGCCAAGCCCTTAACATGACTGAATAGCACTGAGGAGCCCATAAATTAGCCAGATGGGTAAGATTTTTATACCTTTTCTAGAGATGGTGAAGTGTCCCTGTGTCCTAGCAAGAACTGACTTGATTTTCTAATAACATGCTATTTTATTTCCTAATAAGACAGTCCTCAATCTGGGAAATCCAAAAAAAAAAAAAAAAAAGCTCCAGGTCCCATCATGAAAGAGTCTTAGATTCTATAATAAGGGGTTGTTAATACCTGGAATATATAATGAATTCCTAAAACTCAACAACAAAAAATTTAACAACCCAATTTAAAAAATGGCAAGGGCCAGGCATGATGGTTCATGCTTATAATCCCAGCTACTTGGGAGGTGGAGGTAGGGAGAATTGTGCTTTGAGGTCAACATGGGCAAAAAGACCCCATTTTGACCAATGAGCCAGCAAAGTGATATATGCCTGTGATCCCAGCTTCACGGGAGTCCTTAGGCAGGAGTATCACAGTCTGAGGCCAACCTTGGGCAAAAACATCAAGACCCTACCTCAAAAATTAGCTAACCCAAAAAGGACTGGAGGTGTGGCTCAAGTCCCAGAATGCTTGCCTGGTAAATGTAAGGCCCTGAGTTCAAACCCTGCTTTTTTGTTTGTTTGTTTGTTTTTGCAGGAGGTGATAAGGCAAAGGACTTGAATAGACATTTATCCAAAGAAGATGGCCAACAAGCACATGAAAAGATACTCAACGTCACTGATCATTAGGGAAATGCAAATTGAAACCAGGATGGCAGATTCTCAAAAAAGGATCCAGCAATTCCTACTGATGTGTATAAACCTCAAAGAACTGAAGGCAAGAGATATGTAAACACCCATATTCACAGAAGCATTCACAACAGTCAAGGGACAATAGTCCAGGTGTCCATTGACAGATTAATGGATAAATAAAATGTGGCATTTACATGAGTGGAATATTATTCAGCCTTGAAAAGGAAGTTCTGATCCATGCTACAATTTGGATGAACCTTGAGGACATTATGTGTCACTGTAAAATAGTCACAAGATGACAAATCATCAGACTGATACCACTTACATGAGGTCCCTAGAATATTCAAATTCACAGAAACAGAAAGTGGCAGGGTGGTTGCCTTGGAGACCTTTCCATTATAAGTTGATAATGGAATATGTAGGCTTTGCATACACATATGTGCATGCATGTGTGGAGCAAGTATGTGTTAATACATGCAGAACATGTGCTGTACCTCTGAGTCACCGCCCACCCAGAATAGGTAGGTATTAATTATGCCAATAGGTCAGGTCAGTATAGCATAATGGAAGGATAAAGGCTTGGGTCATTTGATAACAATACAAAACTTGAATGTATCATCTCTGGGAAGGACACTATAAAGTTTAGGAGTTAATATCTATAAAAAACAGTTAAGTAGCCAGGCATTATGATGCATGCCTGTAATCCCAGCACTTGGGAGGCTGAGGCAGGAGGATCAAGAGTTCAAGGCCAGCCTGGGCTACATAGCAAGTTCTAGGCCAGCCTGAGTTACATAGAGTGAGCCTGAGTTTTTTGGTTTGGGGTTTTTTTCTTTGGGGGGGGGCGGGTACTGGGGCTTGTACTCTGGGCCTTCACCTTGAGCCACTCCACCAACACTATTTTTGTGATGGGTTTTTTCAAGATAGGGGCTTGAGAACTGTGTGCCCAGGATGGCTTTGAACTGCTGTCCTCCTGATCTCTGCCTCCTGAGTAGCTAGGATTACAGGCATGAACCACCAGCACCTGGCTGTTTGTATGTTTTTAAATTAGGTAAATATATGGGTTTTTTTTTGTTGTTGTTGTTTTTTTTTTTTTTTTTTGGCAGTACTGGAGCTTGAACTCAGAGCCTTGCGCTTGCTAGGCAAATGCTCTACCACTTGAGTTATACCACCAGCCCTTTCTCCTTAAGTTATTTTTCAGGTAGGGTCTTGAGCTTTTCACCAGGGTCAGCCTGTGATGCTCCTACCTATGTCTCTTGTGTAGTTGAAATTACAGGTGTGAAACACTGCACCAAGCAAAAAACAATTTTCTCTTTTCTTCCTTTTTTTTTTTTTTTTTGGTGGCACTAGGGGTTTGAACTCAGGGTCTCACACTTGCTAGGAGGTACTCTACCATTTGAGCCACTCTGCCAGCCCTCAAAAACAATTTTCTTAATTGATTAAATTTGTAATCGAAGAGTAAATCTATAAAAAAAATAGCTTTCTACTTTTTCTGTTAGAGTCTAATACAGTGAGCAATTAAATAGAATACAGAAGGTAGTGAATATTTCTTTCCAGCCCAGAGCTTTTCAAATATGAAATCTCTTTCTTGTGAGGACTTTAAGTAAGATGTAGATAAAGCTGTCAGCACAGGGCCTTCCACATAGGATGCTCTGAAGTCCATTTCACCTGAGTTAATGTTTTGAAGAGTTGGGAGCAGGAGCAGACATGAGAGAGGCAGAGCCTGGAGAAGAGCCCAGAGAGGAGCCTCATAGGGCAAGCTGTCTGCCTGGCTGCTCTGTAGGCCCTCAGTCACTCAGTCATTCTGCACCTGCTAACAGCACCAACAAGGTGCCAAGCACTGGAGATAAAATAGTAAGCAAGAAGAGATAAACCTTCCATAGTTTGCATCCAAGTCTCAATGGCTGTCTTCTTTTATCCACAAACAACTCTCTACCACACTTCCCTTCAGGCCATTCCTGCAGATGAAACTAGGCCATGCCAGTCAGGCCTCTTCCCTGTCCTATGGTTGGGCCACTGGCTGCATCTCCCAACAGCCTGGCTTCTATTCAAGAGGCACAAAACAAAGGTCTCGGATCAGGGTGCTAATCCTGACAAAAGTGGTTGGGAATGTGGGTTTGGGATTAGATGGCAGAGATTTGAATCCTGACTCATCTTTTTATTATCTATGACATTGGCAATTAATATGATATCACTAGGCCTTAGTTTTCTTATCAATGTAGTAAGGATAATAATCTACCTGAAAAGGGTTTCTTTGAGGAATAAATATGTGAGTATATACATACAGTATACATACTATAGGTCAGATATATCTCTTACCTGTATCTTCACATGTCTATAGATACAGAGGCATGAGTAACATTAGTGTTAGTCACTGTTACTACCTCAGTATTGCTGCTACTTCACGGTTTGCTCTTTGCAGGAGCTTGAATATTTGTTTATAGATAGAACAAAGTATCAGATGGACCAGTGGCAAATTCTTTTCTGGATTCTAATCCATCACCCTAGTCAGGCCAATTGATGGTCATTTCATTTTACATTTCCCCAAATTGTCAACAGATAAAAATGATTCCCCCTCCTATTTATTTATTTATTTTGCACTACTGGAGAATCAAACCCAGGGCCTTGTGCATGCTAAGCAAGAGCTCTACCACTGAGCTATATCCCTAGCAACATCAGTGAAGAATGTTAAAAAGATTGTGGGGCCAGGTGCCAGTAGAACCTCACGCCTATAATCCTAGCTGCTCAGGAGGCAAAGATCAGGAGGATCACAGTTTGAAGCCAGCCTTGGACAAATAGTTCTTGAGACCTTATCTCGAAAATACCCAACACAAACACAAACACACACACACAGGCTGGTGGAGTGGTTCAAGTGACAGAGTGCCTGCCTAGCAAACGTGAGGCCCTGAGTTCAATCCCGAGTACTTGAAAAAAAAAAGATTCTGGGGCAAATAATGTCTGCTTAGATAACAGAGTGGTCAAGTGGTTTGAAATCAGGACTTCATGCTTATAAAGCAGACTCTCTACCACTTGAACACCACCACCAGTCCATTTTGCTCTTATTATTTTGGGGATGGGGTCTCACAAACTATTTGCTCAGGCTGGCCTCAAACTTTGACCCTCCTGTTTTTAGCCTCAAGTAGCTAGGATTATAGGCATGAGCCACTGGCACCTGGTTTAGAGGGCATATTTAAATCCACAGGGTTTACTGAGCTCAGAGTCACTGCTCATAGTTGTGCAATTGTTCACTGCACAACCCTTGGAAGTGTCATTCACTTCTGAGTAAACATAGATTTGTATATGTATTACATGTTTCTAACACAGCAGTATATTGTTTTATGGAAAGGGTACCTTTTCTATGTACAATATAAGCCTATTTGGAATTGTCAAAACAAATCCCCCCTGTACAATGAATATATCCTAATAAAAAAAATGAAAGGGTTCCTTTTTCCAGTTCACACAAAGTTGCTAAGGATTTACACTCAGTGTAGCTCAGTGGTAAAGACTTTTTTTTTTTTTGCAGTGCTAGGGCTTGAACTCAGGGCCTACACCTTGAGCCGCTCTGCCAGCCCTTTTTGTGATGGGTATTTTTGAGATAGAGTCTCTTGAACTCTGCCTGGGCTGGCTTTAAACCATGATCCTCCTGATCTCTGCCTCCTGAATAGCTAGGATTATAGGCATGAGCCACTGGTGCCCGACCAAAGCACTTTCCTAGCATGTTCAAGGCCTTGTGTTCAAATCCTCACCACAGGATACTTGTGTGTGCATGCGTGCGTGCGTGCGTGGGTGTGTGTGTGTGTGTGTGTGTGTGGTTGGCTGAATTCTGAAGATGCCCCCTTCCCAAGATTCTGTCCCCTGGTCATTATAAAAATCATTAATCTAGGTACTGCTGTGAAAAGATTTGAGAATTAAAGTTTCATCTTAAAATGGGAAATTAAGAGTTCCACATCAGCTGTGGATAAGATACAGAGATTACCACCCACTCAGGTAATTGAAACTTTTCTCAGAAGTCTGAGGTAGAAGGATTGCTTGAGCCCAAGAGTTTAGAGACCATCTTAGGCAAACAGTGAGAGCCTGTCTCAAAAAAAGGAAAATAGAAACACTCTTGCTCTGCCCTAAGGCTACATGGCCCTGTGGAAGGGCTCTCCCTAGCACCAGGCCTACTCTAGTAGAGATCTTTGGGAAGCCCACTGCTTTCCTCAGACTTCTAGCAAGAGGAGACAAGGGCCTCAGCACCAACCAAGTCACTCAACACTGGCTGGAATTACCAGGCCAGCCCAAACTGGAGCCAAATACCAGAGCTTAGATGGGTCAGGAAGAATTGGCAAATGAGGCATTGTTTTTGCTTCTTCATACCAAGATGGTGTCAGGGATGTACAAGTCTGTGGCAAAGTGGGGTGGAAAACGGATGATATATTACAAGCTGGAAAACATGGGGTTTTGAATGGGACAAGGTTTGATAAAAAGGTTTACAAAAGATACTGCAAGATTCAAGAATGAGTTAGACATCATGAAGTTCATACGTAAAGATTTTTGGACTCCAGTATTTAAGAAACAAATCAACAATTTAAGGACAGCCAGGCACCAGTGGTTTACGCTTATAATCCTAGCTACTCCAGAGGCAGAGATCAGGAGGATTGCGGTTTGAAGCCAGCCCAGGGAAATAGTACATGAGACCCTATCTCAAAAAAAACCTTCATTAAAAAAAAAAAAAGGGCTGGTGGAGTGGCTCAAGGCATAGGTCTTGAGTTCAAACCCTAATACTGCAAAAAAAGAAAAAAATCTAAGGACAAATCATAGGACATCTAAGCACTTCATGAAGGACAGCAGATTTTGTCTGCTTATCCAGATATCTGCAGGAAAATGGTATTTAGAACGTACATCTAACTATCAAGCATTTACATGTGGCTTAATCAAAGATAGTTTGTCAAATCTGGGAATAAAAAGTATTGTAACAGCAGAAGTGTCTTCAAAGCCTGCCTGTGAAAAGAAAGAAAGAAAAGGAAGGAAGGAAGGAGGGAGGGAGGGAGTTTTCTTTGGCTGGTATTAGAAGAGAAAGTCAGAGATTCAAAGCACAAGAGACATTGAAGCCTTTGATAACTTGAAGATGGAAAAAGCCATGTGATGAGGAGTGCTGGTGTCCTCAAGAGAGCTGCCCCTGGCCAGGCTCAGTGACACAGGCAATTGGAGGCAGAAGGCCAGCCTGGGCCCTGTCTCAGAAAACCAAAAAAAAAAAAAAAGAAAGGGAGAGAGA